TTGTCTTTTTTTGTGTAGTAGAATCACTCTCTTACCCAGTTCTCCTCTTTGGATTAGGACCTCTCATTAAAAAAAAAAAATCATATTAATTTGTCAAAAGAGACTATTTGGACTTTGCTGTTGCCCAGTACAATGCTCATTATAATCTGGACATGAGTGGCAAATGCTTTTGAAAGCAGGAGGTGGAATAGAGTAGAGCAGAATACTGCTAGTTCAGATCGCTAAGGAAAAGCGGAAAGTGGCAGTGTGTGTGAGGGAGTAGCTTTTTATTTTATGCCTATACTTTGCAAATAATGCTTGTTCACAGATGTTATTACAAATGTTTTCACAGTTTTCACTTTGCTAAATAAATATTGCATTATAAATTTCATTAGTTTGCCACAGCCATAACAAAACATTTTAACGCAGTGAGAGATCTCTTTCCACATCTTTATGTGATCTAGTGTGAAATGGGTGTTATAATGCTTACTGAACAGTTAGATGAGGGCAGTTTAATTTCAGGGTGACAACTTTATCCAGTTTATGATATCCCTCTGCTCAGTGGTTTCGCTTCACTCCTTCAGCAGGCGGAAGCTTGCTTTAAGATTTATATTTTCTTTTCATGTGGGCAAGGAGGTAGTGCCCCAATCACGAATTACCCACTAGTTTGTGGGCAGAAGAAGGGTGTGTGGCTGTTGGAAACATACAATGTTTGAGCAGTTGTTCAAAGATTGCTCCAAGAAGAAGGCAGCGAGCATGCTGGAGGTGTGACACAGCCAGGATCCAGCCTTTGGGACAGTTCTGAGCTATATTATGAGTCTCAAGTAAGGATCCCTTAAGGGAAAATCACACTAGTGGTTCTTTTACCTTGCTAGTTGTAATGAGATGTGGCACACAAAAGCTAAAGGAAATTCTTTACTGGTTTTATCCAAGGAGATGGACATCTTTTTAACATTAAAGTATCTGTAATCATCACCAGCTGAAATTCTAGCAAAGACTGAAGTCTTTTCTTGCAAGACCTTGTTCTGCATCTTCAAGTGCAAATTGTATCTATAATTCCAGGCACCTTTTACCGGTGAAGTAACAGAAGGTGAGAAGGACTCTGAAGAGATCTGCAGTAGAGAAGATTCAGATTCACCAGGCTATTTATAACTTGAAAGTCTTGCCTAGAAGTTGGAAATTGGTGCAGTGGAAAAGGTAGCAAAAGCTACAAAAACTACATGAGTGGCGTGGTGAGGTCAGGCCATCCACAGCTGCACTGAGGTCTGAATGTGCTTCCTTGCAAGAGTGTTCAGTGCCTGGCAGTCAGCAGATGCAATTATTAGAAAAATGCAATATATCTTTCTGTGTCTTAATCCTCCAGAACTCTATTTGTCGGTCTTTCTGGTCAGTTACCCTTCACTCCACAGGTTTTGTGGTGGCGTGATTTGCTAAGTTAATAAGAATCAGGGTGATATAAGACACAGTCTAATACTTGTGTGTGGAGGGGTCCTTAAGCATCTGTCTGGATGAGATGCATGTAGCCTGGTTCTGAAGTCTGCCTTTGAAGACGCTGGAGAGAAAAAAGAATATGCTAGAGAGATGCTTTTCATCCCAAGATAGACCTTCTGAACTGCTGCCTATCAGCTGCTTTTTACACCTGCCTGTTTTTTGCATGAGTACAAATTGACTATAGGTAAGGCTTGGAGAGATTTCACTTTATGCCTTGTAACCCAGAGCATCTAATGCAAACCTTAATAATGCAGTGGATATAGGTGATATTTTCTATACACAGAAATTACAGGCTTTCTCAGCGCTTGTAATTTCCTGAATGCCAGTCCACCAGAAGGGATGTGCTGATGTGAAGGCACATCTTTCTTTTACTGAGGGTTAAGTACCTGAGGTTAAAAAAGAAAGGCAAACATCAGTGTTACAGGCTACTGTTAGTTCTGTCTCTCTATATTATGCATGCTAACAATATAGTTGGCATAGTTTTTACTAATGCAACATGCGTCAGCTTTTTCTCAACTGAAATATGGTGAAGTTACAAAAATAAATGGAATGCTTGAATAAGTAGATATGTCAGTTAAACCTAAATGTGCTCAACTTAGATATCCTTAGTATGCTCAAGGCACAGAAATTATTCTGTGCACAACTGCAAACATGAAATTTGTAGTATACTTTAATGTGCAGCATGATAGCATTATAGTTTCTGCAACTTCTCTGTCCAATTTGTCAGCATTAGTTTGCCTCATTCACACAGACGCTTGTGTAAACATTGCATTGTCTTGCTTCAAGAGATGTGCTGTGTGCATTAGTTCAGTCATATTTCATTACTTTGTTGATCAAATTAACTCTTTACTGTTAACCATGTAGGGGTAAGATAGCGAAGAAAGTGTGGGTTGTGTTCTTTCTTGCTCATAAATTGAATCGCTTTCTGAATTAAACATATGCAAACTTATTCAGGGAGGGGAGCACTGTGACAAGTCTCATTTGCCTTACTCAGTTACAAGTGAGGGAAATAATGCTGCTAATAATTTGAATTCTTGAACTTCAGGTTGGGTTTGCTGAACTAGCAGTTGTACCAAAGAAGGAGAAAAGATACTTATTTTAAAGGGTGTTGGTATAATTGAATACAAGCTGTCTGTGAATAAATTTTGTCTGTAATCCAGCTCAGATTGAAAAGGAAAATAGGAGAGACACGTATATTACACCTTCGGTCGCAGTTGTTTGAGCATGTTGGCTTTCATTCTGTGGAAGAAGCCATGCAAGTTGTCCACGAGCATAATTTTGACTCATGTATTTCAGAAGCCACAGTTTTTTGTACAGGGAATTGGTGTCTGCGGCAGCCTCAACTCAGCAATGTGCCATTCGGTCTTTTTGGGTGAGGTTCTCTAGCAACAGAATTTGTTAGTCAAAAATATCTCTTGAATAAGCTGCTTGTGGTTCTGGTGGGTGTTTTTGTTGTGCATAGCTTCTGTCCTTCATGCCTTGCCAATTACCGGATTCTTAAAAAAATTAATAATGAACTAGAAAATGTAGACTTCGGTTTTGGTAACTGCATATTAGCTTCTGCCTGAAGATCCAGGGAATGCTGTGCCAGCATCTTCAGAGAAGAGTGTGAACTAAAGTGTGAAGCAACTAACGTGAGTGTATCCACATAAGATATTTCTAATTTTGTTTGAAAAGAAAGCCATAATAAGGATTTTGTCCAAGTATTGAAAGATCTTTATTTTACAAATATTCAGAAAACTCAAGGACATTGAGTCTAAATTTCTTATTTGTGAACTGTGGTTTTAGGGAAGGGTGTGTTAATTTTGTGGAATTAGCCCTACCTTTCAATGTCAGCTGTAAAGCATAACCCTACACTTTAGTGAAACAAGGAGCCGAAGGTGACTCGGATATAACTGAAAGGCTTCCTCCTTATTCTTTGCAATGCCATTGGGAGCAGGTTGGATTGGGAAAAATAGCAAATTATTTGCATGCTAGAGTTTTAGCGAACAATGGGGAAATTGCATTTGCTTAGTACATTACATATGCCGTTCAGTTTTTGGACTTGTGTCTAATATTCTGTAAGGCAGAGATTGGCAGCTTTTCAGGAGCGAGGTGCCAGATTGTATTTTTCTTTCACAAATTAGAGGTTAAGAGCACTGGTTGAAAACATTCAAACATGCTGTCAGGCAGTGTTTGGAAACGGCTGGCTGTCAGGCAGGCAAGATGCCACCCAGCAGCTGGTGTGGGGCCGTTGTGAGGGGCAGGGCTCCCTGTCCCAGCGCTGCCAGAGCCAGGAGTGCTTTTGGGACGCCAAGGCTCCCGGAGCTCCAGCCTGTGCCAGTGATGTCAGTGTTGCATGTCTGTGGAAATCTACCCACCTCTTCCTTTGCTGTGCATGCCAGGGTTGGGAAGTGCAGGCCCAGCAGGAAATTGTATCCCGTGCATCTAAAATTGTCTGTGGTAATTGCTGTTAGTGTGAAGTTTGGCATAAATTTCTTGTGCAAGATTGGCTTAACGTGTCTCTGCAGAGATGCTTTTATAACGGATACTTTGGATAGTCAGAAACTAGAGCTAATCAGTTGACTAGTAATGTCCTCTTTTACGTTGCATTTTTCTAAAAAAGGGATGAGCACGAGCAGATTCTTGATGCAAGTTTTAAAAAAATAATATTTGAAACCCCTGAGCATATGCAAAAGTTGTTATTTGTGAAGTGATGTGGGATATTATAATGTCTATGTTGGTTTCGCAGGCTGTATTAATCAAGAAGTAATATAGGATAAGTGTAGGATAGTGACCTGTAGGCTTACTTTAGAATCTAACCTTTGACAAAGAGCTCTAGCTGTTTTACATGTTTAATAACTCTTGGGAGTGCTAATTATCGGGTAACCTGGAGCCATGTCTGAACAGTGACTGTACTTTTTTTGAACCTAGTGCAAGTGTGTATGAGTTGTCCTCTTACTTTTTGGTGTCATTCATACAAACGCGCTGGGGTTGTGTTGAGTCTAACACGTTTCAAGATTGTGCCTGTCAACGCTCCTATCAGATGGTGTAGCAGGTTCAAAAGCAAGTCTGATTACAGGCAGCTGCCTCTTTATTTTAGGACAAGGTTTATTGTTAAAAGCTTTCAAATATGATTATGGCATGGGACAGTTACTGTGTAGATATTCCCAGACTACCACCTCTGCAACTTGTCAGCATGGGGACCATGTTATCTTCTGTCCATGGTCATATGACAGCTAGATCAGTTTTCTCAGTTAGAAAATATAAATGGTTTCTACATAGATGTTATGGTTTTGAATCTGTCTGGGAGCCAAACTTATGATGAAAGTATCTAAATTATTTCTATCACTCTGTGTCGTAACTCAGTGATTTTGGTCATTGCATTATAAAAAAACTAGCATCACTTTCTTCCTTAAATTAAAAAAAACCCCCAGCATATAAATGTGTAACTACTTTGAATTTAGTAGTGTGTACTAAATAGTAAAAATATTTTAACACTGTAATTAATAGTATACATTTTAATGGTATTTCATGTTTTCTTTTCCCAGGAGCTGTGATCGTTTCCACTCCACAAGATGTGGCTTTATTGGATGCACGCAAGGGAGCTGAAATGTTTAGAAAAGTCCATGTACCTGTAAGCCTCTACATTAAAAATACCAGTAGATTATTTCTCCAAAATGTAAAAAATATTCCATATAGGTGAACAAACCATTCAGGAATCACTTGAATTTCATAAATTCTTTTTAAAAAAAAATAAAAAAATTCTGTCTTCTATTTCTATCAGAAGCTTGCTTTAACAGAAGGGAAAGAATTTTCTCAGGCCACGGTCATAATAGTACTTGATTTCTTTTAAATCAGTTTGTTTAATCACCTGGAGTGGATCAGACTGCTAAACAGTGTATCTTATGAAGTTATGTCTGCTTTCCAATTAAACGGTCTTACTATATCCTCATTATGTGTCCTCTTCAGCACTGTGTGTGTTGGAGCTTAAAATTTAAAATTTCTTGAAATGTGGAAAAAATCATATATTGGTACATTTTAAAAAGGAAACTTAAGTTTTTGGGGAGATACGCACGTACCTAATTGTCACTCTGCCATTGGAAGGGCTTTGTGACTGTCAAGCCAGGTAGAAGGCTGTCTATGTCACTTTGTTTTTCGTGATGTTTATAGTTTATATGGTAGCTTGCTTGTTTGGGAAGTAGAAAATTTGAGAAGATCCACAATAATTCATATGGATTGGGAGAAAATACTAAACAGGGTGACATCTTTGACTCGATATTTTCTTTGTGTGCTACAAGTTGCTAAGTAACTGAGTGTTATTCTCTAGAATATGTTCATGAAGAAATCTAGTTTTCATTTGAAATGTTCAGTGGATGAGAAAATATAAATTGAAATGCTTTCTTATCTTAAACAGTAAAGAAAAAAAGTAATTTACTATACTTGAAAAAAGATGTTTTCTTGCTTACCTGTGTGAAGGTCACTTCTACTCTTATTAAGAAAGGCAATTTCTTTCATAGCTAGTGCTTTGTTAATTTAAAAAATGCCACAGAAACCTTGAAGTGCCTGCTTTCCCTTTTTGTTTTAATTTACAAAATAGCTCAACAAAAGAAATACATTATTAAATTCCTTACTGTTAACCATACCTTAAGCATATTTGCACCAAAATGGAAGTGTAGGAGTGTTTACCATTTTCTGCTAGAAGAAAAACAAATATATGTAACATAACAGAAGTATAAAATATGGAATGTTTTGTTTTGATTTTATGTTTGGGTTTGCTAAAATGATGCAAAATTATTTTCTTCAAATAAAATAGTGTTCAAGTTAGTACTTTGCTGAGTTTTCCTTTTGATTTAATGAGAAATTACTAAGTTTTCTTTCTAATCCTGTTTTGCTCAATGTTCTTTGAAGAGAACGACCTCTAAGAAAATCATGCATTCTAGGATGGGCTTGGCTACTGTTAATTTGACTAGTGGTAGATAAGATATTAGATATGATCTATTTTGACTCATTGGAAATTTCAGATATTTCTAAATCAAATGAAAAGTCACAGAGAAGCCGTTGCACCAGATGCTGAGTTTGAATGCACTTGAACCAGTCATCAGGTCTTATCTTCTTCATGATGCTGCTTCGTTTTATTCTAACCTCGTATGTTACAGACGTGTCATGTACTTGAGTCTTAAAGCAGCTCCTGCGTATGTATTCCATTTCTAAGTGTCAGCTAAATCCAAGGATCTAAAGAAAGTTTATTTATGTAATTTTTGATGGACAACTTCAAACCTGAGGTTTATATCAAAGAGGTGGCGTCTGTGTGCTAAAATTGCCTATCCTGATTATATAATTGAGTGATCTTTAAAAATCGAATCTTTAAAAACTTTAAACTTTAAAAAAGTGCTTGTAAAGAGTCTGCTTTTCAAAGAAGCAGAGAGCCTATAGGCTGCTGAGCTCTGAGCCTTTGAGTATGCTTGCTTATATTTAATGGAGTCTCTCCCTTGTACATATCGGCATACATACACCACAGTCCCCTTACCCCCGCAGCCATTAGTTACCAAGCTTCAAATGACATATGTAGTATTAACCACAGTAAAGTAACAATTGTTAATTGTCCTTTACTGCATTGAAATTAGAGTAGAATGAAGGAACTGATGAAAAGCTGTCAATAAGGGTCAGCGTTGGAACCTGGATTACAATGCAGAAGTTTTATTTTCAGTCTTAGGATGTAGTAATTAGACAAGGAGTGCCATCTCTTGTGCAGTGGAGCCCAGCTGGTAAGGAAGGAATTTGCAAAGTGATGCTGACTCCTAACACAACAAGTTTCAAGATTTTCACCCATTATGTGAGTTTGGCCATTGTTTTCATGCATCCCAGAGGCTTGTTCTGGGCAGGTGACAAAAGAAGAGTCAGTAACTTTGAGTACTTAAGAAAAAATTGCCTATTTTCATCCGCTGAAATGGACTTCAGTTCAGTATGGTTTATCTTATCAATCGTATATCCCTGAAAGAAAAAGGCAGGGTTTTAGTTAAATCTGCAACTTTTCTGGTAGTTTCTTTGAACTGGAAGGTTATGTTGGGGATTTCACAGGTTTCAAAAAACTGCTTGTGTAAACTTAGCTATGTATTTCTTTTTAAGATGTACTAAAATTGTTTATTTGGCTATGTACTACTGGTATTTCTGTAGTGTACAGACTACCCAGCCAGGATTAGGGCTTCATATTGGGAATGGAAGTTAGAACCAAAAAATACTTGTTATAAGATGAAAGGTAGGAAGACATAGATATTATTGTGCATGTTTACTTGAAGCACTAAAATGTCAAGTGACTGACTGACAGTTATGTAGGAGGTTGATGGCAGGCTGCAGAACTGTAACCCTGATCACTTCATTTCCTATCAGATTGCAGTCAGACCTCAGCGCCCTCCTTGAGTGTAGCAAATGACTTAAGTGGGTTCCTCAGGAATTGTCTCCTTGTGTGAAGTCAGAGGGCTTTCATTTTCTCACTGTATTTTCTTTAATTTAGAAGTAGTATATTTGGATTGCAGCATGATTTGCTATGTAACCAAAAGGTTAATTGAGCATAACAAATATAGATATTCAGACACTGTGTGTGCAGATAATTCATAATGAAAGGTTTCTTTATTTCCTATTATTTTTAATAGATGTCTCTTCACCATTTAAAATAACGTTTTGACTAAATGAAATCCAGTTCCATGTATTGTTAACTACCCTCTCCTCCACTACGGTAGGTCAGCTCCTGTATTGTGGTGGATCTCATCATACTAGTTCTCATGTCATTACTGAGACAAGTTTGCTGAGAAGTGTACAGGGGCAGGAGCTCACTAAGGACTAGAATAGGAATCTCACATAGTTGTGGAATAGTTTGTGTGGACAGTAACAGCTGCTTTGAAGCTTTTCCAGATCTATTATTTGAACAGGGAAATGAGAGTCTTCATTAGCAAGACCTATTACTTTGTAGATTTAAAAGCTCTGAAGATGATAGTGAACTCTCTTCTTTCTGTAAATATATTTGTGGAAATATGCATGTTAAAAATACACTTCAGTACTAATGTCGTGTATGTTTGTACAGATTCTGTATTAATCTGGGTGTTTATAATTAGAAACTTAATATTAAAAATATTTTCATGTTCTACAAGAATAATTTATATATTGATAAATACACACTACTCATGGACAGATCAGAACAACACTAAAAAAAAATTAAATTATTATGTAATGCTGAAATGTCATTTGCTTTTAGCAAGATTTGTTGAAATTAAAACAAAAAAGGACAGTGTATAAGACCTCTAAAACTGATATAGAATTGGGGATACAGCTGTATGACAGCATTTGCATTAACTGTGTCAGAAGGACTTCTTAGTTATTAGGTTATAAAATAATTAACAAAACAGCTGTAATAGTCCTTAACTATTCACAAAACAATAGTAGACTATATAACTTTTTCTTTGATCATGAGTTCACTCAATCATAAATGTTGTATGACTACTTTGAGGAGAACAGAAAGTTCAAACCCGAGGATACCCAAAGATTAATTAATTCATTTAAAGTATAAATGTCAAGTTGTCTTTTTTCCTATGCTGCAGAAAATGGCTTCCCTGTATCCTAGTCAAAATACTGTTTTTCTTTTGTCAAATAATATTCCTCCTAGTGTTCTCGAGTTTACGAAGACAGTGAAAATTCCATTACTTTAATTTAAGGAGAGCAGGATGAAAGCCTACTCAAAGATCATCAGTAGATGACTTTGGCTGTAGAGAGCCCTTGTTACCATCCCTGCACCTTATAACCTTGGACATGTAGTAGTTAATGTATCTCCTAGTTTAAGAACTGGATGAGAAAATTACCTGTAATAATGTGCCAGTAAAAAGAAACTTGTTCCTCTTGCTCATCTGGCAGTCACCGGGAGAGAGTAGAAAATGGGGAAAGTTTGTGGTGTTAAATTGAAAACAGGTAATTTTTTTTCCTTTTCTTTGTTGTTACAGTTTCTTAAAATGTTCCTTGCTATAAACTCTCTGAAAGTTTTACATAAGTAAAGAAACACTTCTTAGAAAATAGTGTGAAACCCATCATGGTGGTATGGAAAAAACAGGTGATCATCATTTGATCATTTTTAGTTTAGATACAAGGAAATTTTTATGAAGATATTGTAAATAACATGCTTTTTTTACTTTCAGTTTTGATGCCAAAAGTTGTACATTCACTCTTAATGAAATGACTTAATATTTGTTGGTTGCGTTGAACATTGGTATATCCTTTTACTTTTGCTTCGTTACCATACTGGCTATGTTACTCATCTAATAACTAGTGCAGCTTGTTCAAGCATGAACCTAGAATGCTCAGGGAAATTTAAAGGCACAAAATGCTACAAAGTAAATAACAGCTTTTTGTACTTGAAAATATATATTAATATTTTTTAAACAGCTATAGTGTGTGTGACTTACCTAGATAACAGAAAAATCTTAAAGTGAAAATTTGTAGGATTGAACCTTGTAAAGCAGGCCTTCAGTTCATTAGCAGATGGGTGGGAACTTTCACCCTGTAGTGTTTGAATGCTGTTTTCATCACTTTTGAGAAATTCTGCTCTGCCTCAATGAAGAGTTTTGTTTACTAGGTAAATAAAATGAGATCAGTGCTATCATTAACATTATTGTAGATTGTGAAAGAAGATTTTTGTGTGTATGATTTGGCAAATTTTCATTTGACATATTTTTCAAGGATGATGTTGAACACTTGGCATCAACAGAAAGGTACCTAGTATGTGTGTATTAGATTTTTATGCTGTGGTTTTTGCCACTTAGTTTCACATAATTATTTCTTTTGTTTGATCTTTAAAATGTGTTTCTGCTTTTCAGAAGAATAGCAAATCTGGTTCTTTTTTGAAAACATTTCCCTATAACTTGCAAAAATATCTTAAAAGCATGTCTGATTGTGTCATTTCTTGTAATGGTATGTTTTTATTTTGTGTTTCCTGAAACTGCAAATTACAAAGCTATAAAACACAACATGGAAATTCTTGCAGTATTCAGAGTTCGAAAATGAAATACTGTCAGGAAGAGTTCTTGGAAAGATAGGCCTGGACATGAGGTACTTTTTGTTACAAATAAGTTTGTTAATCATTGAGAGGTATAAATGTGAAAAACTTGAAATAATGCACAAATGATGGTGCAACTGCAGTGACTAACAAGGGTTGAAAATGATGTTAATGAGTCTGATATTGCTGCTAGTTCCCATTATAAATGAGTGCTCTTTTTGTTTCTTTCTTTATAATCCCTTCTGTATTATCAGAGATGAATAGTGGAAATACTGATGCTTGAATCCCAGGTTTGAACATTATTTTCTTTTACTTTAACAGGTTTTAGGACTGGTTCAAAATATGAGTGTTTTCCAGTGTCCCAAGTGTAAGCATGAGACACACATTTTCGGAGCTGATGGTGTAAGAGAGCTAGCAAAAGCCCTTGGGTTGGATATTTTAGGTAAGGATATAGAAATGGTTTTATTTTTGAAGAAGAAATCAATGGCGTGCGTGAGGGAAGTGTTAACTGAAGTATGGAACTGCATAATCCTAAATTACTCTATATTCAGACAGTGTTCAGACATAATAGAGCTAATAACTTAAGCAGTTGAATGTCATAATTTTTGTATGCTCTGTTCTTGTCAGGATCATTCTTGTAAATGGGATGTGGACTGCATGTGAAAATTCTTGAATTGCATCTTAAATCTCTTTTGATTTATAAACAATCCAGAACATGAATTGTTTTGATATCAATGTGCTATATTATCTGAAATTCATTATATTGATCATACAATAATTTTTACAAATAACCAAGAATTCTATTCGGTTATGTAAAACAGACCTAAGCTCTCTCCATTAATGTTAATAGAAGTTTTCTCATTAATTTCTTTTACATGAAATGAGTTGTTACATATCGAAATAAATATGGTAATTTGAAATGCAGTCCCTTAAAGCAGTTGGTTTAATGCCCATATGAACATATCTTGACTCTTACGTGGAAGCAAGCAGACTGTAATGGTTGTATTCAAGTGCTGAGATTAAAAGAATATGCTGAATTGCAAAATGTTGCTTCAAAAGAAAATGTATCTTTATTGAAAACAGAAATTAGCCATAATTAAAGTCTCTCCTGCCTATAAGATAAAATATGTATTGATCCTTAAAATATACATTGGTATTTTAAAAAGGCATATTTCAACCTGTGCTGTCGGTGAAAAAAAAAATAGAGAATATAACACAGTGTAATTAAGTTGGTAAATGGGATAATTGCATGTGCTAATGATGTGTTTCCATGTATTACTATAATTACCTCAATGATTTTCCATAGCTAATTCATTAAAAAGAACCAGGAAGCTCACTTAGAAAGATCAACACAGAAACATCAAGGTCTGACATAAACTTAAGATAGCAAGGCAACACATAATTAAAGACATGCTTTTGGGCTATCTTTTAGTTTTCTGAATATATAATAAGTTGTGATCAGAGCCCAAGGGGACTTCTGCAGCCCTGGGTTATGTGGATGGGATGCAAATCCTCTGCAAGCAGTTGAATCAAACACGCATTTAGATACACAGGCACAAATGATGTGCCACGCTATCGGTCCCAGAGATGGTTTTTGTTATTCACTAAGAGGGCGGAACTGATTGTGATTGTATTTAATTAGGAGTGATGTGAGAGATTTACAGGTTTAGCCTGGCATGGATGAGAGGTATGAAGAAAAACAGGGTAGAGTTTACTTTCAAACTGTTAGTGAAAGACCAGACTAAGATTAAGAATAATGTGCCAACGGTTAAATTTAGAATTACAGTACTTGATCTGATTAGTATGTTCCTCCTTCCAAGGATGACCATTGCATCATAAAACCATACGGTATTATAAGAATTACTGCTTACAGATTTTACATTAATCTGTCCCAAATGGAAGTTTTATCCCAATGGTATTTGTATTCTGCCCAAAAAGCCTTGAGAATTTATTTTTTTTATACATATAAAATGTGTGTATTTAAATTCAGTATTTCTAATTATTTTGCTTATATTTTGCAACACTTGTGGCTGTTCTGTTTGTTCAACTAAGCACCTAGTCCTCTAGTGAAACCTCACAAGGTTTTAGTTTCCATGATAGCATCTGACAAATTCTGCAAGCTAACAGTGTGCATGATAGAAAAGTATTTTCCTTTTATTTGCTCAGAATCAGCTGCCTTTGATATTACTGAATACCTCATTTGTTTTCATTCATGACAGAAGACAATTAGCAGTTGCCAGTACACCTTTGAGTTTAGTTCATTATTTCATATGCTTTTGACTGTCTAGTCTTTTTATTGTTCCCTAAAGTGTGTGAAAGTTTGTGGGAAAAACTTTGTGCTGCTGATTGTTTCTTCCCCGTCTCTGAAATTCTTCTATTTTGCTTTCTTTTCTTTTGAAGTTTGATGACCATAACTGTGACCAGAAAGCTATGCCACTGATATACATAATACTAAGACAATCCATCTTGACCTTTGCATTTCATGATTTTTTAAACTGTGTCTGCTAACAGAATCAGCAACAATTACTTTTAGAATTTTTAAATTATTTTTGTTTTTGCTTCCTACAATAAGTTTAAATTATTCTCGGCATTTACCATTTCTTTGCAGTCAGCAATAATTGGTATTATCAGAAAAACGTATGATGGCAAGTTCCCATCAGATTCTGTAGTGAAAAATAGTGTAAAAACTTCATTTTCCTCAAACCCTTATCTCCCAAAGAGCTGTGCGGATGCTTTTGCTGGCTTTATGCTTCTGCTTAATTTATGATGTTTTGATTTTTTTTTTTTAATTAAGATTGCATTTTACTTTGGTGACTTGCACTTTTGCTCATGTAAGTCCTGATATGCTCCAGTAGTATCAGCACATCTTTGTAAGTATGAGGAAGAAAAGAAAGAGGCTGCCATTTAGTGGTAGGGCAGTTCTTTTTGTAATTCTCTGAGATTATTATTAAGCTGATAGTGAAGAAGTATTTTTTCATTAAAAAAAATAATTGGGAAAAAAAGTGAAGATTTATCTCTGCATAAAATAGTGGTGGGAACTAAATTCTGGAAGATTTGTGAAGTTATTGTTACTCTATTAAGAATGTCTAAGGTTAAAAAAAACTTTTAAAGGACACCCTAAATATTTTTTCATGAATAAATGAACAGACTTTTATGCCTAAAGACATTTATTCATGACTGACACAAGTAAGAAACAATTAAATTTGAAGGAAATGGACTGTAATAATCATAAATAACAAACTGAAGCTCTTTAAAGATTCAGCTCACTAATGGATCCACAGCTTTTGTATTTGCTATTTGTTTGTATTCCTGCTTGCTTTCAGTTCTATTTTTTTTAATCTCTTAAGCTGTATCAATTTTCACACAATTTTTTTAATGTTTCTTTTTCCAACTGCATTGAACTGCAGCAATTCACACTGTCCTTAGTTTGGGATAAATAAATATTGCTGAAGTATGTGAATTAAACTGATACAGTTTCTGAGACCAGCCAAGATTGATCTAAAGTAGGCTGTTCTGGCTACATCCATCCATGATGTAAAATGTAGCTGTATCTTCCATTAAAAGAAAGTTGGTTTTCAGTTCTCTTCATAATTATCTATGTAGCAATGAACTAAACATGGGAACTTCAACTTTTCTTTAGGGCTGAAAAATAGTATTTCGGAAAGTATGTTTCAGAATGGAATAGGGCTGCTAATTAATTCTCCTTTAGAGCATTCCCTTCCTCTCTGACAGTTCCCTTCTTGTTATAAAAGTAGAATATAAAGAAGATTTCTGTTGGAAAGAAGAATGAACTGAATAGTTGTCTACCTTTTAATTGGATTCAAGGCCTAATAAGGACAATAACAAATGCTATTATTTGGAAATTAAGTATTCAAAGAAGTCTTTGAGCAGTGATTAAAATCTTAAAACAACACTGTAAAGAATATACAATGAGGAGATGGGCTGAACAGTGAGTTGCATGATGAGCATTTGCCTAACACTCAAGCAATTTTTTTACGTACACAAAATAATTTGTATCTCAAAGACATGTCTGTGTTTTTCTGTGTATTCAAGAGGCAAAAAACCAAACTGCCTTCTCTAATAAATGGCTACAAAGCATAGTCCTTCCTATTCAGAGAATGAAGAATCCAGAATATGTTAGACATTAATCATTGTGGATGTACAGAATCTGTACTGCAGCCAATTTTCATTTAAAATGCTAATTTTTTGAGATTAAGTAATTCGAAGAATATACTGAACTGCAATTTGATTGCAAGTCACTTTAGGGCTATTTTAGTGAAACATTTAAGAAATATTAAGTCTTCACATATGTGTATCTTGCTATTTTTGATACAGGAGACATTCCACTACACGTTAATATACGGGAGACGTGTGATTCAGGACAGCCTGTTGTGATCTCGCAGCCTCAAAGTGATGCCGTAAGTTTGGTGCACTGCACTTAAAACAGCAAAAAGCCCTCCCAAAAAATGAATAGAGAGTGCTTCTCATTATTGTTGTTTGAAAGAAAATGTGTATTTGAATGTAACTTAGGGAAATAAAGTAAAAGAGGGTAGTATCATAAGTTAACTTAGGGCCTTCATTTTGGAGTGCTGGTCATCCGTTCTGCTTCTGTGGTCTTGGTTTTGTTTAATTAGTCTGACTCATTCGGAATAATGAAGATTTGATCCAGGTTCTGGCATGCCAAGAAGAGGAAGGTCAGTGCCAAGCCTCAGGAGACCTTGCAGCTAATGTAGGTCCTCTAAAACTGTCAGCTGAGCCTTTGCTAGTTGAGCCTGGAAACTGTCAAAGGGTCCTATCAAAAGATGTTTGGAACAAAACCTGCATATTGTCAGTACCTGGGTTGTTTTCAGCAGG